CATCATATATATATATATATATATATATATTGACATGAAAAAATCCCCATGACAATTATTCTGTCATCACTCCAAATTTCTTTCGTTTTCTTTGATTGGCCTCGTGCTACAAGGAAAAAACAAAACAAAGAAAAGGCTTCCCATTAAAATATCCGTCCCAGCAACTGCTCCACCTGTCCAGAGGAGAAATAATGCAATGTCCCTCAGAAGGGTCCTATGCCCAAAGAGCATAAATACCACAAAGGCCAAAATCCCATTACCAGGCCAGCACCCCATGCCGTTGATCTTGTTCAAAAACAGTGCAGCACTAGAAGAAGCATTGGCAAATGGATCACTTCACACCAGACGAGAAGAGAGACAATAATAAATCAGAAGAACACCACTTCGATTGGACCTTACTAATTAATCATACCAGCTAAACTAGGTGATAGTAAATAAGTAATTAATGAAAGCAAAAAGGGGAGGTGCTAATGGGAATAAAATGAAAAGAAGGTGGACAAAAAGGGAATAACAACGAGGGTCTCAAAAGCTACAAAAGACCTCGACATGCTTTAAAGACCAGAAGGAGAGAGAGTGTAGTGGCAATGGAAATCATGTTGACTCACAGTGTTTGTGTATCCGCTCCTACCTCTCCATTATTTCTCTGAAAGAAAATCATTAACAAACTCTCTCCTCTACTACTTCTCAGCTGGTAAGCAAGAAAGGAAACTAGCTACTTACTGCTCTATGCTACTAGCTCCTTACTCCTTCCCCCCCCCCTTCCCATCTGTTTCACTGTTTATGTCAAGTAAAACTGTTGCTAAAAGAGAGAGAAACTTGGAATCCGGCAACAACCCATTTCTTGTCTTGCTATATTTGTATATACGCTCAAGCTATTGAAATGGGTATTTTTATGTCTTGCTCTTTTTTATTTTTACTTTTTAAAAAAAATGCTGATTTTTTTTTATTTTGCTTGTTTCTCTTGGGATTTTTAATCTGAAAGTCGTTGGAGTTTTTTCCTTAGTTTTAGGCTTAGTATCAAAGATGGACTAGGGATGTATGTTGTTTCTGTTTGGTTTGCTGAGAAAGGTGAAAGAAAAATAAAATTTGACAGTGAAGGGTAAAAAATAAATCAAGAAATAAAGAAACATCATCTCTGCTAAACTCAGCCTATTTTTTGAGAAAGCTTTTGGACTCTGTTCTCGCACAAGAAATGGAAAACATAAGCATTAGGTTTCCTCCTCCTTTTCTTTTTTTTCAAGTTATGTTGTCAGTAACATCACTGTTATTAACTTATTTTGTCTTTACCATGGGAGATATTAATTCTAGGAACCAGAATTACCGAGTTTTGCTTTTAATTATGTTTAATGGAACGTGTTCTTATGCTCAATGTGTTTGCTATTATCTTTGTTTTCTGTTCTTGGTACCAATAGACACAAATTTAAATTATAAGCTTATCTACTAGTTCCATGAGTTTTGGAAAATTAAAGTGAGCTTGTTTTCTTTGTGCACTCTTTTAGTACCAGATGATAAATCAGCGGTCCTTTTTTTAAGTTGTGAAATTAATCATTCTGAATTTGTTTGTACTGTCTGCAGTTTTACATTTGTTATCCTGATGGACTTCTGGAGCTATGCTGCAGAAGGAAAAGGCCTTCTTTTCTCCGATGAAATAGATTTATCTGTTGATGCATTTGCAAGAAGTAGAAAAACATTGATAGGATGGGATACAGAATCGGTTGAGAGTACTGAGTTTATAGATTTTGGTTTCTCTGAAATTCCAAGAAAGCCTTTTCATGGCAGCAAAACAGGTGTGGGTGTGCTTGGTGGTACTGATGTTGGTATTGATTCGAGTAAACTAGTCGCAAGTTCTCCTAATTGCATGATTGCATCCAATTCGTCAATGGAATCCGGGTCCAATCATTCGAATTCTCTTGTGGAATCTAATAGTCAGGATTCATCACTGATTGATTTGAAGCTAGGGAGATTGGCTGATTTCAAAGATGCACAAAGTAGCAAGTTTTCAAAAGAGAGGTTGTTATCTTCTGTAAGTCCAACTGCCCAGGCAAAGCGTGCTCGAGCGACATGTTCACGCCCTCAGACTACCTATTGCCAGGTCTATGGTTGTAATAAGGATCTTAGTTCTTCAAAGGATTACCACAAGAGGCATAAAGTTTGCGAGGTTCACTCAAAAACGCCTCAAGTTATTGTTGATGGCAATGAACAGAGGTTTTGCCAGCAGTGCAGCAGGTTGGTTGGTTACGTACTTTTTGTTTTTTTTTTTAATTTTTCACTCACGTTATTTATCTTAGTGCTTAGTCAGTGAAGATCATATTTTTATTGACTCATTGTATGTAGGGTCACTAATAAGTATAGTGATGAACTTATTATGATAAATCTTTATGAAGACATGACATTGGCACCCTGTCAAATACGACAGTACAAAAGGGGTTAGCCACTGAGTTCTTAATAATCATACTGCTTTATTCATACATCTAGATTATTTTTTGTTCACTAGAAAAGGAAATGACACCACAAAATGGAGTCAAAGTAGGCTGATATTTCATGTTTCGAGTTTCACAAGATAGTAGAGGCTTTGGATTTTCAGTGCATATATAGGTTCAAGTGCCATGACAGTTACGCATCAAGTATACGGCAGGTTTAGTTGATTTTTTTTATCGTGTTCCTATTATAGTAGCCCTAATTGTTTTCAACCTGATGTCTGGATAGTGTTTTGCCGTGCCTTGTTTTTCCTTCTGCTGAGGAAGCTTGGGATCTTTTCTATATGAATCCTGCTATCTTTGGACTCTTCAGGTTTCACTTGCTGGTTGATTTTGATGATGGTAAGCGAAGTTGCCGGAAACGCTTGGCAGGCCACAATGAACGTAGAAGGAAGCCTCAATTGGGTACCCTCTCTGTCAAACCACATAAGTTACTGCATCCATATCAAGGTATTGACATCTGGTACTCCTTAATCAATCTACTTAGGAAATGCAATTCAATTTCATATTGATGCCAAACAAATAGATATGAGCTCCTTTGCTTCCCGTATAAAAGGAAGGAAAAACCTATTTTCATTAACCTCACATGATGCGTCTTAAAAATTTATGACCTTGATGGATTTATGACCTTGATGGTGGTCGTCTTTATCCTCTAAATTATTACTGAATATGCATATTCTTGAAACAACTTTATCAGAATTATTCTTGTCATATGTCCTGTGACATTTTTCTTTAATGATTGATCTATTGTTTTGAGCTCAGCTGACTATTTACTTGGTACTAATGAAATTTTGAAGTTAGATCATATATTTACTTGCGCAAAAACTGTAAAGGGCTTGTTTCAAAATTCAGCTTCTTTATTTTCCCACGCATGTCTAGTTATGCTAGCAGAATCTGACACTTGTTGTTTTGCGTTTTGATCTTTCTTAAAATCTCCCGTTCAGATTTTTAAATGACATCTCAGTTTAATGACCAAGTAATTTGACTGGAAAAATAAAGATATTCCGTGGCAATCCTTTTCATTGAAGTAACTATTGCTTAAAAAACATTATGCTTGCCTAACTTTTGAATTTCATCCAAATTTACGAGCGATTCCATCAAATCTGAGAATAACATGGATTGAGCAGGCACCAAATTTCTGGGGACTTCCTTGCCAAAGAAAACGTCTCTTCTTTTCCCAAACATGCTTCCAGGGAGTGCTTTTTGTCCAGGAAATTATGAAGAAGAAAATTGGTGCAGGCGCATTAAATTGGAAGAGAATTCAATTTACAGCTCTCCATCTGCAATACCCATGGGAAATGGGCAGTTGCCGCCGAAGTCATTCCTCCATTTGCATGGCAATGGGTTACAAAAGACTTGTGGAAGTTCTTCACCGGCAATTGATGACTGCAATTTTTGTAACACAACAACTTTTCATGAGTTAGCTGGGGCGTCGCACTCTAGCTGTGCTCTCTCTCTTCTGTCAGCTGAATCACAGGACTTGAGCCATTCTGCAGGAAATATAACGGCTAGGCCCTTGGTCAGTCAAGTGAGTCATGCTTGTCAGAGCTTGGGTATTGTTAACAAATCTTTAGGGGTAGGCTCCTTGGAAAAGTACTTTCCAAATGGACTTTATCCGGCTGGAATGAATTTCATTGAAGTTAATGATATGGGGCCATTTGTGGTTCCTGGTTCTGGTCACGCAGCGGACTTCCAAGTTGAAACAGATGGATTTCTACAACAGTCAGATATCTTGAATGCCAAGTATTGCGTTTCTCCTGAAAATGGATCAACTGTGGATTTGCTTCAACTCTCATCACATCTTCAGAGGGTGGAGCAACAGAGGAACTCCATGCAAGTGAAGCATGAAAATGAGGATTTCTGCAATTTCGGCTCTTCTTATGGGGTGTGAGAGGACCAAGGTATGTAGGAGAATAACTTGGTTCATCATTTCTGGTTAAACCTGGTACGGTGTAGGGGGAGATACCATGGATAGCGTGAACAATGTTGCCGTGTTTTCTCTTAGATAATGCGCGCTCTTGTGCCTTGATAAGAAAATGATAAACCTAGTGTTGTTTCAGGTTCAAAGGAGAGAATTGATGGCAAGCTGCTTGCCTGCATCAGATATAACTTACTAACTTTATCGGTGCAGTAGAAAATAGGCCCTTAAGAGACTTCAGCTTGCGTTTGCCGTACATTCCTTTACTTGAAAGGTAAATAACACGAACAACATGTGGAATTTTTTTTTATATTATTGTTATTATTATTGTAAGGTGATGCAAGTTTGATTTTGCTAGAGATGACTTATTTCAACTTTCATCTGGAAATACTGTGCTGGACAAGAATTCAATTACTAAATTATGTACGACTGAGTATATCATTGCAGAATTTTCGGCTTTTGTTCATTGACACATCGCAGTTTCGACGGACAAATTTGAAGGGACAGAAATTAGGGCTGTTAATATTTTGATTAAAAGGGATTAAACACTTGATGCACTAGGTGACCTTTGATTTATATTTTGATTAAATGCTCTTCTCCCTTGGTGTTGCTGATGGAAAATTATGATAACTCCTGCAATTTTTTGTATTAAAAAACAAACCCATCCCTAAGTTACGGGAGCTTAGACCCATCTGACTTGGGAGCGGAATGCTTTTCCATCTTTGATATTGTTGCTTTCTTTCCTCCACTTCCTATTGAAGTAAAACGTGGGAGTGGCCACCTCATCCACTAATCAAAGGGAGCTCCTCCCTTTTCTTCTTGGTGGTCTGGATTGTGGACGGTGAGTTGTAAAAGGAACGCAAATTCAAAAGTTGAAAGGATTTAGCCATCAACTCCCCACTGGAATCTTGTATTTTTATAATGCAAAGCTCTGCAACTTGGCCTCAAAAGCGAGATAACCTTGAGACTCAGCACGTCTTCGTTGTAAATAAACAAGTATTATGTCTGCAGCCTCGTCTTGTTGGATGTGCCCTGCCGCTCGAGGCCCACGGGTACCAGGTGGTCAAATCTGGTGATGTCACTAATGACGCTTGCTAATTCAATAATAAATGTCTTTGCTTGATCTTCTATATAGTGCGTGTGTGGTGCAGTTAAGATTTCATTTCTAGAAGATTCCCAGAGTGTAATTATATATAAATTGTCGAGGCTTATTGCATATCCTCTTTGACAAAATACCTGGGCGTGCTTGGTGGCTCATTGACTATTATCGCATTAGTTGAGAGAGTGAGTTTGTCATCAAGGGAGGGATTTTGCAAAGGAAGATATAGACGATATTTGGGCAAAAATCTATGGACAAGACTAGCTTGTCCTTTCTTTTAAACCCCCTTCTCATCTCTAGTAGGACTCCATGTTTGCTTGATTTTTGTTTTAAGCATGAAAAATGGAGACATGCATGCATGGAAGCATCAATTGCCATGAAGATTTGGCGATCTTGAGTTTGGCCACTAATACACATAACCGGTCAATGCATTCGTGAGCATGGGCTGTGTACTTTAGGGTTTTTCCAAATGCAGAGGCTTATCGGATTGAGCCGGTACTTCTTTTGAGTACTTGTCAAGTTATATACATAATACAAATATGCTATAAATAAATCTCATGTTGACATTAGTATACCTTGATGAATTATTGGTGTTTCATGGATATAAAAATGATAGATATGTGATTGGTTAGAGGAACACAAATAAAAATGTAAAATAGATTTGTTTTTAATATAATTTTAAAGTAAATTTGTGTTTAAAATGTAAGTTACAATACAAGATATTTTTTATATTTTCATTCTCGTCCTTTTCCTCTTAAGACACAAATTAATTACACAAATTTTATGATACTCTAACTAGTTGCATTATATTACTTATTTAATAGAATCCACTTTATAAAAATAGATATTTTTTTTATATTTTCACTGTCTCGTGACATAAGTTAATTACACAAATTTTATGATATTCAAGTTGTAACTAGTTGCATTATATTACTTATTTAATAGAATCCACTTTATAAAAATAGATAAGATACAAGTAGAATAAAGAAATATTAGGTGGAGATATTCTTATAATTTTTTATGAATCATGGATTTTATTCTGTCTTCCATATGTAATTATCTATCTTTTCAAAACTAATTTTATTAAATAACTAATAGGACATCACTACTTACAACTTAAATATCATAAAGTTTTCCGTCAACCCCTACCTAATTTGTTTACAAAGTTACACAAACAATAACATTTAATGTAGGTGTTTTGGGCCAAATAAGAGATTAGTGTAATGATACATGTCAGCGAAGACTATGTTTGGAAATGCAGTTAAATTACATTTATGAAAATATTTGATTTTTTAATTTTAAAATAATATTTTTGTGTTTCTTGATTATGTTGATGTCAAAAATAAATTAAAAAATATTTTTTAATTTATTTTTAATATCAATATAATCAATACATTAAAAAAAAACGTTTTAAAATACAAACCCAACCGTATTTTTAATGTCTACGTTGCACGATTGCTTCCTAACAAACATTTTTGGACACCGAAGGTGAGAGTAAAAATAAGACAGAGAGAATCCTCGGTCTAGGTTTTAGAGGCCAGGGCCCAGGATCGCCTCGTCTAACGTTGTTAAAGTCTTTTGACGAGATTAGACTACGGGCTCACATAATTTTTCTGTAGTTGTGGGTGTATGGGTCACTACTCTTTATGTTGACATCATGGTAACAACTATTGCTCCTTTTTTTTTTTTTTTTTCCTTTTCCTGTCAGGTCTCTTCACAACCTTGAAGACTATTCTATGATAGTTCTGGTATTTTGGCAAACTATTATTCAAAAACCACGTAATTTCTTAGAATATATATATATATATATATTTCATAACGTTATTATATATAATTGACATTCTCATATTATTGATTTTATATAAATAACCATGACTGTTATTAATTTTATGTAGCTTGACTGAACAAATGCGCGCTTGATTATTTGATTTAAAACTATCAGCCTTTCAGAAAATCAAACGACCGTGCGTTACAGACTAGATCAAATCAGGCGCAGAGACTAATTAATGAGATTGCTAATTCTACTAAATGTCACGCCATCTAGCTAGATCAAAGCCTAAGGCAGAAGTTCATCCATGAAAATATACCAACAAACAACACAAAATAAAATGACAAGATTAGTAGAAGGTAGGAGACGTGAAGCTAAATAAACCAAAACAAGCTGCTCTCTCTAGATGCCCTCTTGGACGCCTCAAATTTCTTTCGCACATCTATCGCTGCATTCCTGCAATATGTAAGGCAAACCAATTCTAATCTCTTAATCGAGCAGCTTAAAAAAAACACCAATTCTAATCTCTTAATCGAGCAGCTTTTAAAAAAAAAAACACACACACACAGTTTGCTATGAATGGAAAGATAACGGAAGGGATAATGTTTAGTTACCTGCATTAAATATTAGGGCTCCCAGAACCAGCACCCGACTTCGGAAGATACCTAGCCCTAGCCCACTATAACCAGCAAAGCCTGATCCAAATCAATAAAATGTGTGTGTGTGTGTGTGTAAACCTTGAAAGCCCACTATAACCAGCAAAGCCTGATCCAGATCAATAAAATGTGTGTGTGTGTAAACCTTGAGCAAATAAAGAATCTTACATTTTTAGCTGCTGTGCTAAAAGCTTCTCTGTGTGGTATCTCAGGATCGGCTGCTTTGATGCGCTTTATCTCCTCCCTAGGATGGAAATATACATAACACTTGTTTTGCTAGTACTTATAATGACAGGCAGGTATTGAAAAATACAGGAATGTTGGCATATGAACCAAACGACTTGTGGGTACGTAGCACTGTATTTTCCCAATATTGATATGAAATTAATTAGGTAATTCTCTCGTATATACTTTATACACGTAAAAAGAAGGTTTCCATCGTTAAAATAGTGAAGGCTAGCTAGAGGTAAAATAACACGTAATTTAGCAATATTATATAAACTGCAATAGTTCCAGAAACATGTGATTAAAACGAAAAACATCTTCTTCTTACTTCATAAACCTATTGTAAGCAGATGGAAGTCGGTGTTTCTTCTCAGGCGCTGCAAAGAAAATAATAAAAATTTAAAAGAAAGAAATTCACATCAATTTAAGGGATAAAATAGCAAATGTAAGCCAAATCAATATTTATTTAAATCAAAACAAAGATGGGGTTCCTACGCTTTACTACGAAGGGTACTGTGCGCACCGGTTGTTCGCTTGAGGTCGAGGAGGATGAGGATTCGCCCTTTCTGATATCAGTGCAAAACCCTTGCTTCTCCTTGAATAAGAACTTTTCATTACTAGAAACTCCCTTCACAGTACACACGCAATTAAATATAAAGCATTTTAACATGGCATGTTGTTAAGTTGTACTGAAGAGATTTGTGATGCACTGGTCTATCCTGATCATCGTTGATAAATATACGTGATCTTGTCAATAGCAGCCATTTGTTAGCTAGGAAAACGAATTGAGTGCCTTGTGTTTAGCTACTTGAGTTATTTCAGTTCAGATATTGACCCTGTATCTATTCTGTAGAATAACAACCGTGCCACCTGAATCGTCCAAGAGCGATCAGAAAGCAGAAGGCGATTACCGATTAATCACAAATATTTTATTTGTTGATTCAAAAGGAGTTTTAACTTATGAATGATGGTGGGATATATCCCCTTATCTTACTATTAATATTAATGTTATATAATCTACCTGTAGACTCAGTCGGTGGTACGGATCAAGACATTGCCCTTGGTTGGGAGGTCTGGTGCTGAGAAAGGATAGATTATTGCAATGACCACATTTGACAGTCACAGTGTCCAGCAGCCTCTTGCATGGAATCCCGACCTAAAAAATTGAACAGTGGAAGAAATCATGAAAACTTGATGTGGGTGCACCCCAAGATATAATTATCAGGCTAGCAACACATGTAATTCAATCATCCAAGAATTTAACTAAAACTTGATATGTATATAGATATAGATACATAAAAAAAAACGTAGAGCCACATTTTGCTCTCTATCTAGGAAATTATTTAATTTCATGATCAGGATGAACATGAATAGATGCGAAATGGTACCGCAAGAACAGTGTTGCAGAAGTTGCAACGGACATAGCAGAGATGCTCAGATGATGGAACCTCCGTGCTTGCTTTCTCTTCTAGGTTCATTGTCAAGCAACAAGGATAGAACAAGATTAATATAAAGAAGAGATGGCTGACTGAAGTGGAGGGTTCCTTGAGATGCAACAGCAAGAAGTCTAGCTAGGGTTTCTGAGTGTATAATAACAAGAGGACTGCTTCAATAAAGGGAGTAGAAGTATCTAGCTAAGCGTCAAAAAGAAAATCTATAGCTACTAATCGTAGTCGTAGAGTCACAGTACAAGCGCTCCTGCATTTTGCAGAGCGGGTTTGCTCGTTTACTCCTCTTTGATGCTCAGAGCCTCGGGCAGTACGTAAATACCTACCAATTTATGCGATATACTAAAGTACTCTAGTTGGTGAACAGGTCTCAGTGCAAGCAAACCCATCACAGGTCCGGGATAATAAGGAACGCCATTTAATTGTGTTTTTTTTTTTATAATTTTTTTAAATATATTTTTTATATTTTTAAATTATTTTAATGTACCTAGATGTATTGATGTTAAAAATAATTTTTTAAAATAAAAAAATATTTGCATTTCAATATGAAAAACATTTTGAACCATAATTATTATCATACTTCCAAACACCATATAAGTGAATTAATTGGTTAATCCAAACCAATATTATTTAAATATTTAATTTTAAAAAATATAATGTTATTTTAAAGTATTTTTTTTAAATTAAATCTAGTTTTAATTCAATAATGAATTGATTCTAGTTAAATCAAATCAATTTTAATTTAATTTTTTTAAAACTCAATCAACATTAAAAACCAAATCAGTGGGTTAATCTCACCTCACAAGCGTTTGGTTATATATTAATCCCATTTTAAAAATATATATAGTAAATAAATACAATTATGGAATTAAACTCAAAATGATTTGAAGGGTTTGTAGTTAAGAAAGTTTATCTTCTTCTTTTTTTTTTTCAAGTTTAAATTTTAAGGTGAATATTCAAAAACTTATTTTTCTAAATTTATGATCTAATATGGAAGAAAAAAAATTACTTCCCAACATATATATATATATATATATATAAAGCAATTTCGTTCAATTGAATTTTGGTGCGGGCCGGTTTCCATGGTGTTGTCAAATCAATTATCTGTTCAGTTTCTAACCTTTTTGGTTTCAGGAAAAATCAACACACCGTCCACCATGACATAATTGAAAATCGATTGCAATAGTTGCTAGTGTCTTGTAGGTTGACATTTATAAAATTGGCGGAGTTACTTGGAGTAGTCCTGGACTCGAGCATTGTTGGTCTATATATATATCTACCCCAACTTAAGCAATCAAGAGCTAAAGAACTTTAAAGCAAGCATGGTGAAATATCAACTCAGGCAAGCATGTATAATAGAAACAAGAAAGAATGTATAATAGAAACAAGAAAGAAAAGAAACTAGGCATGCGAGCACGACGATTTATAAAGAATGGATCGGTGAGTAGACGAAAAGTTACTTAGTTCGTGTAATTAGCAGATTTACTCACGAAAAGAATGATTAACTCTTGTTAAGAGATCATGATATTGGAAATTATTCTCCTTTCTTTCCCTGTAAGTAGTCATGAGTTATATAGCATCGTCCCCTTATTTCCTGTCTTAGTGCCGATAAAAACACTTGTTACTTGTTTCCTAGCATGGTGGCATCCCTAAGACCATTACATATAGTGATCTTAGGGAATGATCAGATTCATATAATCTTGATACGCAACAGTATATCCTCGCTAATAAAATTAATCAAATCAATAAATAAATAAATAAATATTTTTCTGCTTACTTTACGAGTTCCATCTTAAAAGAAGTACACTGAAACAATGGAAAGCCTATAAATCACCAAACTACAATCCCAATCCCATCTCGATCTTAGCTGAATTTGCAAGTGAGAAACTCCGGATTGGATCCTGTTGTCTTGTATCTATTCATTGCTGAAATTCTGTTGAAATATCCAACTGGATCCCTTTGTCTATATCTATTCATGCCGGGCAGCAAGATGATTTTTTTTTTTCAACGTTCAATATTTTATATTAATTGAAATTTGACATAAATTTTGGTAAAGAATATATATAAATATTGTAACCTTTTGCTATATAAGAGATCTTTTTTTTTTTTGAATTCAAGAAAACCCCATTTCTTAGAAAACACACTTTGTTGAAACAGGTGAGTGTATAAAATCCTGACTATCCTATACTCTTACAAGAAATACACGTCTTAACTTGAATTTAAGACCTACTGTATAGATTTTAAATCTTTTATCATTATACTATGCCTCTTGAACAATTTATAAAATAAATTAAAATAACAACTAAGAGAACTCTTTTATCTAAGAGAAAAGGGCAATTTGTAATTAATTAGATTGTAAAAGTGAAGAGGAAATAAAGTAAGCTATATGCATGTATGAAGAAATAAAATCGGTCATGTTTGGGCTTTCGACAAGTTAGTTCCTAGTGGCGAAGAAAAGACCCATCCAACTTAATCTCAAGTTCAATCAAGTTATGTTTTGGCTTTTGAGATAGATGACATATCTAAATCAATCATTCGAAGAGGTTTGACCAAGCTTTGATCTAAAAATGATACCATAAAAATCTCTTTAAATTTACGTAAATGTGAAGAATGCAATGTTATGGATTTTTCTTTCTCGGAGCTGTTGAATTATATTGACTCTATCCCTTCATATAATCTTCATAAGTAGTAGAGTCCTTGTCTCTTTGGAGAGGCTTCGATGAACCTCGAAGTAGTTTGTATTCGCCCTGTTGTTTAGTCATCGTTTTAGCCACTTCAATTCGTCATGTGCTTCTTTTATTCACCTTTTAAAGCCATCAGCTTTTTCCTCCAGCAGGTAATATCATTTTATGTTTTCTAGTCACTGAGTCCATTAGCTCCGAGCCTAAGTGACGAAATTCGCTATCATATCAATGAAGGTTTTATCATCTACGAGGCCCTCGCAACTCGCCTTCAATGGGACATTATAATATGGGACCGTGTCGAAGAAATGTTAGCAAAGAACAGCCCGTAGAGAAACTAAAGTGGCAGGCATGGAAATCACCATTGCTGCTGCTGATATATACCAGTCAAATCGGAGATACCCAAGAATGGCAATGATGGTCAGGCTGAGCGAATAATTAATGTTTTAGCCAGAGACATTGACAATCTCACCACCAAAATGACTAACATCAATGTCGAGTTAATTTATACAAGTAATGCAAGCAAACAATGAGGTCATAAGAGGTCATTGTGAACACACCCACGTGTTTGACAGAAGCCAAGATTTAGGCAATGACAGCATGCATGAATGCCTCCGACTAAATTTAGGAGCGAATGGAATAGGTATCAAATTGCTTAGAGGCTACTACTTGTACAATAGATGCTTCTTTATAGAACTTAAACAGTAGCCTTCACGTTCTAATTATAAAACACAGGTTTTATCCCCAGAAATGAGATCCATCACAGTCTGTCTATAGGGATAATCATACACAACGTGACAAGTACATCTCATGAAAATTAGGAAGAGACGAATTGTTTTGAACAGCAGACCCAGGCTTGATGGAGTTAACCGCAAGGATATCATGGATTAGTGAGGCTTTGTATCCGCCAAGCAAAACAAGGCAAATTTAGACAAGGAAACACAGTGGAGGCAATCTAAGAGTGGTTTTTAGCGATCTAATAGAGAAGACAAGAAAGCAGAACATGGCAAACCGTTCCACCTTGGCAAGCAAGATAATTTCTTAGCCTGTTCAGGAAGATTGGAAGTTCGAAGATACAAGACAAGTGACAAGATACGGTGTTCTTACATGGACAATAGGATGCTATTAATTAGTTAATTTTCTAGGAATTATTTGTGATAGTTATTTGTTTATCATTATAAATATATAACGTGCCTGTAGTTTTGCCATCATCGTAACATCCCAAACAACTATACGTACGTGTTTATCTTACGTTTTTTACTGTCTACTCTAACAGTAGAGTGGTTTAAATTAGTTTAGTTTATAGTTTAGCCACCACTTTCCATTCCATTTGATCTTCGGAGTTAATCTTTGATTGAGGAGTATAACTTTCCATAATTGTCCAACTTTATTATTTATCCAAAAACAATATAATTAATAGTAAAATTCGAGATGAACAAATACTAGTTTCTATTAATATTGTATCTGGCTATGTGTTAGGAAAATAAGAATCAATAGTCAACCGGCCGGATGCTATTTTAATAATATTTTTTTAAAAAAAACATAGTTTTAATATCTTTTAAAAAATTAAAAGAGTATTTGACTGGATTGCTAGGTTATCTCACTGGACAGATAAAACTCAATAACACTTCTAGAACCATTGTGATAAAAAAATAAATAAATAAAATTTAAAATAACGGGCTAATACCCATGCCATTTGAGTGTTATTTTAAGATGGTAAAAAAGAAGCGTCCATCCAAAATATCATGGGAAGCGTGAACAAGTGAAAAAGACAGTGTAGAGATGGTAACCTGCATGGGTTCCATCTTTTGTGGGTGCGGTGCTAAACGAGGAAATCTGAAAGAGATGGATGCTAAAGCTCATGTCACCGTCACCCTAGTAAATCAAAATAGGAGATGAGTTTTGTGTCTTTTGTGATGGGACGATTCCTCATTTCCGAACATGGAAACAAAGCTATAGTAACACTTGGTATCCTCACCTTTCTCTGCTTGTATAAATCGGCCCCCTCGGTCTGGGTTTAGGTATCCATTACCCTCAAGGTCTCTCCTTAGTCCATTGTACAGTTCACTAGTCATTGCCTTGGCTAGGCTTTTGCATTAACCATGGAGTTTGATACAGGTTTTCATGGGTTGGCATTAAGTGTTTACTTTCTACGAGGCTCCCATGTCTTCCTTTTTTCTCCATCTTTCCTTAGACCTTACCAGACCAGTTCACACACGTAGTTCTGTTCATCAACGGATCTGGACACGTTCATTGGTTCTATTGTCACCCCCTTCTCTTCCTTTTACGGAAATTCAGATTAGACATCTCCACTCACATGTTCATGACCTCTTCACTTTTCATGTTTCTTTCTCTTCATTCAAAACTAGTTTTCTTTTTGGAACAAGCCTGCATCCCTCTTGGATATTTTACAGTATTCGTTTATGTTCATGTCTAATTGACATTTGTCCTGGAAAAACTGTTCAGTTTTTATCACTGCCTTTTCAGTTTGTACGCATGGTAACTCAAAGTTAATGAATAGATAAAATTAATGAATAGATATTGGAGTTTGGGAAGATAAATTAAAATTATAAATATTTTGATTCTTTATTGTTGTGTATGGTAATG